AGCGATCGCGTGCATAGAAGCTTGCCAGATCATGACTGAGTCTTGGCTGGACCGTGTCTTGTGCACCGGGTGGTTGCAGGTTGTAGTTGAAGCTCTGTGTGCTAAGGAAGGGTGCGCTGCTCTTTATGGATGGGCACATCGAAACAATTTAACCCTGTTCAAAACAAAGCCGAAGCTACATATGCAGCAGGAAATCATGCACCTTCTCTGCAATGCGTGTTGTTGTTTGAATTTGTTTTGGGCTTTACATCTGTGTCAATGCGCTTAGGGAGTGGATGGGTGATCAAATTCGGCGAGAAGCTAGATATGTGATGTCGCCTACCTGTGTCTTGCATGCAAGTAGTCTTGCTCTTGCAAGTGCAAGTGCAAATGTTGTTGTTTGATGCTTTCTGGCAGTACTGATCACTTAGGCTTCAGCACATGGGTGGATGAAGACTTTATAGGGCGGGAGCCTTGTCTGAACCACAAGTGGTTTGTGGCCACATGCATGGCAACATGACCTTTTCATGCATGCAATCGTTCGTCATTAGTCTTGCATACATGACCTCATGGCTCTTGCGTGCATGAGGACATGCTGGTTACATGCATGGCACCATTGATGCATCCATTCCATGCATGACAAAACATGACTGCATGCATGGCCATGGTGCATGCACAGCTTTCATGGCATGCATGGTGTCTGGAATGCATGCATGCTTGTAGTAGGGTTTTTGATTGTGTATGCCTATTGCTATGTTTTGTTAAACACCAGCACCATGTCTCTAAGCTGCTGTTGGCCTAAGGTCTCACGCACTTCGCGTCGATGCCACCCATGGGGATTGGCAATTCGTGTTGCTCAAAGGGCACTGGGGCACTACAAACGGTTGTGGTCCCGAAAAGGATGGATCGATCGTGCTGGGTGACCAAAAGCTTGCTTATGCTGCTTGATGGGCAGGGCTCAGGTGTTGGTGTAAGTTTCAAAAATCATCTCGAGCACATTTTTTTTCAGGGAGTCTCCTCGAGCAGAAAAATTGAACTCGAGCAGAAATGTCGTGGTACACATTTTTGTGTACCACTGGGTGGTCTAGGTTAAGAACTTCTCTCATGGCACAGGCTGGTGATTCTTAGCCTCGTGAGATGATTGACAATGATTCATAGTGCATCGCAATACACATCCCAGATTCCAGATACTCCCCATGTGTGGAATATGTGCTTCATTGACCTCCAGAAACCACCCCAAAGTAGGCCAATATAGGCAGTCCCAGTCCCAGACAGGTCGTGTCTGGGCCGTCGATGTGGACCCGATGTGCCGCCGATGCGTCTGCCGTGCACCGGTGTCTCCAGTATAAGATACTGCTCAAATCTGAGGTATGCCGGTATCTGAGCACATCTCTGGTTCCACAGCCCATCCAAACCATCCACGCTCACAATCTACATCATTCTACATCCATCTGGGTCTCCTGTTTGGGCGGGTGCTCGAAGACCGGCGCCCCATAGACCTCGCTCAGCGCATAGTCCAGGAGTAGGTCGGACTTGAAGGTCTCACAAACGACTAAGGCGGTTTGAATGCAGCGCAGGTAGGGTGAGGTAATCACCACCTGAGAGGCAGCGGCGCGGGGCCATTGGTAGAGGAGAATGGTCTGAAAACAGGGGCCATGGAAAACCACCTTCCATGTTGGTGAGTCGGAGGGTATGCCGGCATACCCCATATAAACGTATACTTGTGATGAGACAAATTCCCCGTACGAATCCGTGTGTCGAGGTTTTACAATCGTGAAATAGAATCAAAATCCTACATTGCCAGCAGCCGATGACGATGCTCAGCAAAGGCCTTTCTCAAACATTGTGATATTGTTCGACCGACGGTTGCTGGTAGTGGGACACACCCGACATCCACTGTTTAAAGGGGTCTGTGCTACACTTGCCTAACTGCCCTAACTGTCCTGTGGCCCAAGTAGGGTGAGTGGTGAAGGTGAAGAACAGCATGCTAATTGTTGCTGTTGTGGCTGACAAATTCCATGATGAACAACAATCAGCCCAGCATTCCACAGGCCATGTAGGCCAAACATGGGCCACACAAAAAGGAGTGAAACACCACATGTGACATGGGACTGCGTGACTCTCTCATAGGGTCAAATTTGGCTCCTTCCTCCTCACCAAAAAGGTGCTTAAAATTGCTTAAACACTTCATGGATTGGGACATGAGATGAGAAGTTGGTCGTCGGAGGAGTTTCAATTTCAGATCCGCATGCAAAAAAAAAACTCTGACAAAGTCGTAACAAAACCCGCCCTAAAAGGCAACAGAATCATCCAAAAACACATCTGCACCTTTCCAAAAGCGCGAATTGATGCCCAAAGACTCCATCTATGGAATGTAAAATTATACAATACACATTAAATCTAATGAATTACTTATACACTGACCCCGACCCCTTTTCGACCACCCCCTCATCAGGAGCCATATGCCAGTCCCAAACAGGTCGTGTTTGGACGGCAGGTTGGCTCGTTGCCACAACCTCGCGATGCAGCCCCACCGTGGGATGCACAGGCAGCTGAAGGCCGAAGGCACGTCAAAGGCTAAGCCTTCCTTCAGCAACTCTTTGGCCGCAAGCTCAGCCTGTTGAAAGCCATTCCTCAGCTGCTGTCTGAAGACTCTTTGTGGTCAGACAACGGCCAGAATGCAACAAAGATTGGGATTGCCCCCTGAAACTGAGACGACTAGACTAGTCATGACTAGTCATGGATCGAAACTGAGAAGGGAAACATACCAACCCAGGGCGCCCGATCGTTAGAGCCCGCCGTCGTTGAAACAGCAGCAGCGGACGTGCTGTGCTGCCAATTTCTCCGGACGGACGTTCACACCGAAGAAAGGGAAAAAGGGATCGACCCGGGTGCCAAAGGAGCCGCATGGACCATTGAAACCAGATGAAAACCAGTGGGTGTTGAGATGTGTCATATCCATGTGGGAAAAAGGATCGATGGCCCGACCGGAACCGTTCCGGCCTAACTCCAAAGCTTCCCAGGCCTGGAGACTGGAGAATCATCCATGGCCCCATGAGCCCCATCTTGGCCCGACCAACCATCCTCATGCCCCAAAGCATCCATGGGACGGGGCCGATATAGATTGGGGCCCCTTGGATAACCACCCCAACTGATCGGTAAATGTGCCAGTCCCATGGAGTGTTCGGGATATCAGGTATATAGTGCATTGAGAGTAGATGGCACAACCCCCAAGAGGTGGTTGATATCGACCCCTATCTAAAGTACATCTTGGGGTCTGTGCCATCGAACCTCTGAAACCACTGTACTAGTTCTTTATCGATTTTCTTCGGGTCGTGGATGAACTCATCCGCCAGACTTCCGATCGCTGATTCTGGTCGGTGGTGATTCGGCCCATTGTGTGCTGGCGCTGTCCTACCCCGTTGGCCGAAGGTAGGCGGTGTGGCAAAGAGTCTAACCCATCCTCAGAATTGGAAATCCTTGATGGGAGTACTATGGGGGGTACAACAATTAAGAGTTGACATGAACTGGCATGTCATTGTCCCACCCAGTTCCGCCCAGCATCGGCGTCAAGGGCGGATCGTGAGGAAACCGCTCCGCGTCCTCCGGTCGTTCCAAAGGGTGTTCACTCAAAAGTTTCAGATTCGGAAGCTAGGTGGAAGTCAGGTCATTTTTCCAGGGAGGGGCAACTTCAAAAGTCACGATCTCGTTCTGCAATGAAACAACAACCATACAAAAGAACGCCATGAAATCCCCAGTACCTAGTCCATTCCCATGGAGTTGTAAACATCATAGTCCAGTCCCGTGGAGTTGTAAATATCATAGTCCAGTCCCATGGAGTTGTGTAAACATCATGGTCCAGTCCCGTGGAGTTGCAAACATCATAGTCCAGTCCAGTGGAGTTGCAAACATCCTGGTCCTAGTCCTGTCCCATGGAGTTGTAAACATCATAGTCCAGCCCCATGAAGTCGCAAACATCATAGTCCCGATAGTCCAGTCCCGTGGAGTTGTAAACATCCTCGTCAGCCCCTCGCTCCCCGAAGGCTCGTCCTCCGAGCAGCCCCACTCGTCGAAGGCTTCCGGGTCATCCGCGCGCTGGCCGTGCCGCAGGGTGCAAACGGAGAGCCGCCTCCTAGATGTGGAGATCTTGGCTATCCATATCTTTGGATCAATCATCCCAAGGTTGCAGCTTGACCCTCAATTTCTCTGAAACCGTCAGTGAGTTCAGCTAATGAAGGGCGTGAAGGGTTTGTAGTGGTCTAGTGCCAAAAGGTTGATCAAGAGATGTGTGAGGTGACAAGGACTCAAAAGGCTTTCGCAGTGATGAGACGGGACTCTTCTTGGAGATCAAGAAAACATGTGGCAAAAATTGGCAGAAGCGATCTGAAAACATGAGGGGCGCTTCACCTCCCCTGGAATGCTTGGAGCATAAATTAGTGTGACCCCCATCTGAAAACAACATTATATTAATTATATATATAGTCTAGTGTGCATCCATTTTCTACGTAGGCACACATATAATCTATATAACATTCTTAAGGGACATTTCTCACAAATATGGTAACCTCAAGGCACTGTGTACTCCAAGCGCTCCTGGCTTTGGGCGTCTTTAACGGCTCATTCCACTGCGCCAACTCGAGGCTCGCACCACGCATGTGTTCCACGTTCGGCTCGCGACCCCGTGCCGCGTTCATGGGCGACGCACGTGGCGGGCGCAGGGTGGTGGAGCCCGGACCAGAGTCCAGCCTGGCTGGTGGTTCAATAGGAAAGCAACACCCTGACAAAACAAGAGTTCCACCTGGTACAAAAATTCCTGGATCCTGTTTAGAAAAAAAATTTCGAAAAGAGATATACTTGTATAATACCCTGTGGTCTTTTCAGGTAAACAAATGTCTCATTCCAGATGTTCCACCGATGAACATTCAATCATATAACCCGCGTCGGCAGTCGGATGCGGATGCGACCGAGTTCGACCAAAGGAATTGCAGTTCCCCCTATCTGTTGACCTCATTTGACTGAATCCATGACTTAAGTCATATCTGGGCACAGTTTTGGCCACATGGACTTCAGAAATCACTCATCTAAAGTAGACTAGCCGCCAGCAACCACAACAATCTTAGGATACATCGCAGGAATTACCTCTTTTAATTATCAGCGACCAAATCTTGCAACAATGGATCAATGTTCATTCCTTTTCACTTCTCCAAAACGGTGTACCTTTCTCACCCTTTCTCCACATGAGACAAGTCGAAAAGGAACATTACCGAAACAAACCATGAGGCAGGTTCGTTTTGGATACAATATCCAAATATATATGTACCCTGATCTTCCAAACGCTAAGTTAAACTTGGCATTAGGTCAAAT